GGGTGTCTTTGGCTGGTGGCCATAGACGACCACTGTCAGATGCGGGCCAAGAGGGCTCCTGGGACAGAGTCCAGGGTAGGGTGACCCTGTAGGCTGAGCCCGAGAGAGGTCCCAGGGCCGGCCAGAGGGCCGCGTGTGCTCAGCTCCCGACGCCTCCTGCAGTGCCCATGACGTAGATAGCACATGGAGGGAGGGTCAGCTGCGGCTGCACGGGGCACAGGGGTGCCCACTGGCTCTTCCCTGGGCACCACAGGGCACTAGAAATCAGTGGGACCGCCAGAAGCGCCTCAGGTGACGGACATGGAAGAGGGTCCCACTGGAGAGGAATCAGTCCTGTCTGTGAGCCTCTGAGACCTGGGTGGGGCTTGGCGGGCACGTGGTCATCTTCCAGCAGCTGGGAACAGGAGAGCCTCCCCCAGACCCAGGTCCTGCATTTGAACCTCTGGCCAGGAGCCGCTGCACCTGGGGTTCCTGTCATTGCAGTTACATGTTCTGACCGTCTCCCTAGTTAGAGGGATTGTCATTGCCCTACATGTGTTTATTGAAAAACACAGGAGGGGGGCCAGCAGGTGACTTTCTCTCTCTCTCTGATCAAATTAAAATAAATAAAGTTAAATAAAAGAATTCCTTGGAACCAGCAGTGGCATAATGGCTATGTCGCTGGACTCCCATGTAGTCGACTGCAGTTTGAGTCCCGGACCCGGTGGCTTAAACTCACGCCGGGTGCGTGTGCATGTGTGCCCAAGATCCCAAGAGGAGATTGGAGGAGAAGGGATTGCGGAGGGGTCCACAGCACGACCAGACCCTGTGCTGGGCTCCCTCTCCTGGGGACTTTCAAAGGTGTGCACATGGGCTCTACCTTGAATTTTGTTTTTAATAATTATTTTATTTTATTTATTTATTTATTTATTTAAATTGTGATATCAAAACTTTTTTTTAAAAAAGTAGCTATTTATTTAAAGTTTTTAAAAATTTATTCATTCATTTATTTTAATTTGACCAGAGAGAGACAGAGTGAGAGAAAGAGTGAGAAAGCGAGCCACCAGGTCCAGGACTCAAACTGTGGTCAGCCATGTGGGAATGTCCAGTGCCTTAACCACCATGCCACCTGCTTGTCCCGATTCATTTATTTTTTTAATGTGACCAGAAAGAGACAGAGGGTGAGAGTGAGAGAGAGAGAGCCAGCCCCCAGATTCAGGAGTTGAACCCTGGTCAGCCATGTGGGAGTGGCCAGTGCCTTAACCACCACGCCACCTGCTGGTCCCCCTACCTTGAATTTTTTAAAATAAGAAAGAGGGACAGACCAGGAGTTGGCATAGCGATTATGTTGCTGGACTCCCATATGGCTGACAGTGGTTCGAGTCCTGGGGCTGGTGGCTTTAAAATCACGCCTGGCATGTGTGCGTGTGTGCCCAAGATCCTGGGAAGGGAATGGAGGAGAAAGGATTGCGATGTGCCCAGCCCCCTGGGGGAGTGATTTCTCGCTTTCCCTCTCATTGTCTGTCTTTCCCTCCACCCAGCACATGCGCTTTATGGCAAAAATCTCTAAAAGGAAAAAAAAAAAAAGGATAGGATAAAATAAGAGAAAATGACCTAGGTGCTCGACTCAAGGAAGAAAATCCACAGAGCACCCCGAAGGACACTTGGGGCAGTGGTTCTGAGCAGTGGTGAGACAGCACCGTGGATGCAGCAGGGGGCCGACATAGCTGGACAGCGGACCCGGGCAGAGCAGCCCCTGCACTGGGGGCTGGCAGAGGCGGCCGAGTCCCCAGGAGGACCACCTCCCCAGGGAACTAGCCTGCCCAGACACAATTCTCAGTGCGAGCCAGCGCCGTGACACCATGACCGCGCAGCCTGGTGCCAGGAGACCAGGGCCCGCCAAGAGAGGCTCAGTTTACTGAAGCCCTAGCATTTCTGTCATGACAGCTGGGCACGGGCCCCCAGCAGGGCTGACTGAGCACCTACTGGGCGCGGGCCCCCAGCAGGGCTGACTGAGCACCTACTGGGCACGGGCCCCCAGCAGGGCTGACTGAGCACCTACTGGGCGCGGGCCCCCAGCAGGGTTGACTGAGAACCTACTGGGCGCGGGCCCCCAGCAGGGCTGACTGAGCCCTTAGTGCCATGAAAAGCAGTAGGGACTGGGGCCAGCCTGGGGTGTGGTGGTCAAGGCATTGGCTCCACATAGCTGACTGCACAGTTGAGTCCTGGCCCTGGCGGGTCAGAAATAGCGGGGGCACATGCGTGGGTGCTCCAAACCCGCGGAAGAGAAGGGCCTTTGGTGTGGTTACCCTGAGGGCGCCTCCTCCTATCTCCTGTCTCTTTCTACCTCCAGCAAGCACGTGTGCCCTGTAGCAAATGCAAAGATAAAGGCACCAGGGACGCAGTGTAGTTGTCATCAGAAAGTCTCCTGCATCTCAATTTAAGAGAAAAAAGGATGAACCAACCTCAATAAGAGAAAGTCCTAGAAAATTTGATACTCATTTGTGATTAAAAAAAAAGAAAGAAAATAAAACCAGCAGCTAGCGGGTGGCTGGGTTTCCATATGGCCCACTACAGTTTGAGTTCCAGACCTGGCACCTTGAAAATCGTGTCGGGCATGTGTGCGTGCCCAAGATCCTGAGATGCTGCTCCCAATAGCAAGAATCTCTCTTATAAAAATAAAACCTGACCCAAGGCAAAGCGAGCTCAAGCCTGGACCCGATTCAGCCCTGCGTGCATCGCACATAGCTTGGCCAGGGCCCAGAGGAGACACGAGGCAGCGCTGCTTCCCAAGAAAAGCTCGATGGCCAGAGCGGGCCGTGACTCTCAGTGCGGGCCCCATCCCTGACGCGCTGCCCCCCAGCGCGCAGCCAGATGCAGCTCTGAGCCCTCCCTGGTCTCCCCCGGCTGGTGACCTGCATGGCGCGGAGACGCACTCCAGCAAGGGCCAGGTCCTGCTCCGTGGGCCTCCAGGGGTGGAGGCAGAGGGGCAGCATCTGGAAGGCGCTGGCACAAGCCCTGGCCTGAGGTCCCTGGCGAGGCCAGCGCTGTGTTCAGAGCCCCCGCGCTGCCCATTCCTGGCAGGCCGCGGCCTGGCACCACGGACTCCTGCTGTGGATGGTCAGGTGCCTCCTGGCCCTCGGACTGAGCACGGCGCTCCCCCGTCCCGGCCCCCTCGGATTTCCACGCAGGCAGCCTGGCTGCAGTGGCCCCTCTGTGTGCACGGTGAGCAGGGCACAACACACACCTGAATGATCTTCTCTGGGATGTTGGAGACCGTGAAGCCGTAGAGGCGCACGCGCTCCGGGAAGATGCTGGATAGGATCCTGCGATCCAGCTGGAAAGCGATCTCCCCCACCAGCCTCTCCCAGGCCAGCTGCTTCGACTCTGGGGGTGACAGAGGCCATGGTCAGTTGAGCTGCCCTGGTGTCTGGGAGGCCGTGGTCAACAGCCCGGGTGGGTGTCAGGGGAGATGCTGGCCCGACATGGCACTGACCTCTCGGGGTGTCGGGGAACTTGCTGGCCTTGCGGTGGGCCAGCTTCCGTTCCATCTCCAAGATGCTCTTCCGGGGGGCTTCCGAGGTACGTGCACCCCGGGTGTCATTGACAGAGGCAGGAGAGGATGAGGTACGAGGTGGGGAGTGGGGGTTGCGTGGAGGAGAGTGGGGGCTGGGCAAGGGGCGGCTGGGGGAGTGCTGCGCCCGGGAAGGGGTGCTCTGGGTGCCATGGGTGGAGCTGTCGGCAGCAGCTTGGGGGGCAGGAGTGGAGGGGGAGGCGATCTGCCCTGGGGGCGCGCAGGCCTGGGCCCGGGCATCCGAGGTGCTGTAGGGGAAGGCTGTGGTGGCCCCAGAAGCACCCAGGGCGCCAATAGGGGTGGAGGTCTGGAGAGGTGCACCCACAAACGTCACGCTGAGGGGCTCTGGGTCCTGGGTTGGCCGGGGGTGCTCAGTGGAGAGAGGGACTGTGAAGCAGGAGGGCAGAAGGAGAGGAGGGTTAGCCCGAGGCCTGGGGCCCTGCACCCGGGGTGCCCCGCCATCCCCACCGTTACCTCTGGTGGTGGTGGCCGGCCCTGTGCCCGCTGAGGGAGGGGGCCTTGAGGGGCCTGCCTTGAGTGGCTCTGCCAGATGTGCCCTCGGGGGCTCCGGCAGCACCAGGTTGTTCAAGGGGTTAGCCAGAAGGTTCTGCGAGATGCCCAGAGGGGCGGCCGTGGAGCCGAGCAGGGGGCTGCTCAGAGAGACGGCCACTGTGCCTGCCACAGGGGCCATCAGGGGGCTGCTCTGTGACATGGCCAGGGGGTTGCTCGGGGTCAGGGGGCCGGTGGAAGGCAGGCCCAGGGAGCTGGCCAGTGTGCCCCCTGGAGTCACTGCCAGGGGGCTGGCCAGGTGGCTGCTCAGCGGGCCAGTCAGGAGGCTGGTGAGGGTGGTGCTCTGGGCCACAGGGGCCGAGCCAGATAGCAGCGAGCTGAGAGGGCCTGTCAGGATGGAGCCCGTCGTGGGGCTGGACTGCGAGGTGCTCAGCATGTCGGCCAGCGGTGTCAGGGCCACCATGCCCATATCCTCCAGGACTGGGTCATTTGCTGCTGCCGGGGATGGGGGCAGGAAGACACCTGCAGACACAGAGAAAGCAGGCGCCAGGTGAGCCCGCAGGGCTGGGGCGGGGCAGCCACAGCTCTCCCACGGGCCCTGCCCAGGTGCCCGACGCCTGTGGAGGGCTGTCTGTCCACCCTCTGAGACTTGCTCTTTAGGTGGGCAGGCTAACGACCCCTCTGCCTCTGCCGGGGCTCCCTGGCTCCGAGGACCAGACCACAGCTCTGTCCTCTTGCTTCTTGGTCCCCAAGGCCATTCTCAGGTCTGTCTTCCCAGGCCCATTTCACTGACCCAGGTCCCCAAGCCACAGGGACGTTCTGCTGCCCCCCTCCCCCAGCGGTGCCCACTGCACCCAGCGGCAACGCTCTTGCCCAGAAGGGGAGTGTCTCCCAGCGGCTGGACTCCCAGGCAGCCAGGTTGACCCCTCTCTTTTCTGGTAGGGGGATGGGCCTGGGCCTTCTGACCACTGTCCCTGCAGGAGGGATGAGCCCCGCCGGGTGGGCCCCTTCAGGACATCCGTCCTAGAACAGGCAGAGCTCCTGCGGCCAGCCCTGCAGGGCCTGTGTGCTGCGTGAACAGAGAATGTGGCAGGTGGGCTGGCGTGCGGGCTGAGGGGCCCGGCTCAGCACTGAGCTCCTGGACCTGCACGGGGGCTGGGAGCCCACCCCGCCACCCCCTTGGAGACTCCATGCAGGTCTGAAGGGCAGCTGTGTGCGTGCAGGGAGGGGGCAGTTCGTTTCTTTTTCTTTTTGCCATAGAGCTCATGTCCTTGCTGGAGAGACACAGAGCGGCGGAAAGTGCAGAATTACCCCTCGGGATGACCACGCTGTAATCCCTTTCCTCCATTCAGGATTTTGGGCACGCATGCCTGGCACCACCAGGTCCAGGACTCGAACCGTGCAGTCTGCCATGTGGGGTCCAGTGCCTTCATCACCATGCCACCTGCTGGCCCTTACTTTTTAATACAAGAAAAGCCATGAGTTTAGGCTGTTTTTCTCTTTAAAATTTTTTTTATTTAATTTTATTTATTCATTCATTTCAATTTGACTAAAGAGAGACAGAGGGAGAGCAAGCCACCAGGTCCGGCACTTGAACCGTGGTCAGCCATGTGGGTTTGTCCAATGCCTTAGTCACCATGCAACCTGCTGGTCCCATAGGCTGTTTTTCTCTTAAGTGTATTTACTTCTTCCCTGAGAGAGGGAGGGAAAGAAGCACCCTCAATGGGGGATTCATCCCCACGATCCCAGCCCTTTCCTGTGGGCTCCCTGGCCCTGAGGGCGCGATTTGATAACTTCCACTTGGCTGTAAAAGCAGCAAGCTGAAAGACCTGGCGGGCTGCTCAGCCCTCTCCAAGCCTTGGCTGAGTGGGGCCCGCACGCTCGTCGATTGGGCATGCACGTGGACGGCACGATTGTGGACGGCACGCTGGTGGGCGGCACGCTGGTGGGCGGCATGCTCGTGGACCGCACGCTCGGCAGAGCCGGAGGGCAGTGCCTGCTGGGCACAGCCGGCACCTACCCCCACGGCGTTGGCATGTGCACTGGAGGCCGTATTTTGAGCACTGACTAAAGTTCCGTGAACTTTCTGTGTGCTGTGAAATCGTATTCGTATGATTTCCTTCAGTTGTTTGAGGCCACTGACGCCATTCTCCCCCAGCTGTGTACAGAGTGGGTGGCCACGAAGGTGGCTGTGTGGCGCCCTGCCCCGTCCGCTCCCTGCACCACCGCTTGGGAAAACGGCACCTCCTGGCTGCAGGCTCCCACCGACCCACCTGCCGGCACGCCCAGTCTTTTACCTTGACCCGAAGGTGCCAGCTACTGGCCCGCCACGTACATCCTCACTGTGGACTTTGTTCTGGGAGTGGGCAGTGCCAAATCCCTGACTTCGGTGGGGTCCCCTGATGTCTCCACAGTGGGCGTGTAGACGCACCCTCGCTTTGTTCACCTCTTTTTCTGTTGTTTTGCTTTATTTATTTATTTTAAGGTGTTTACCATAGGGCATGTGTGCTCACCAGAGAAAGACAGACAGACAGAGGGAAAGTGAGTCATCCCCCAGCGGGACGGCCACACCGCAATCCCTTCTCCTCCACTCTCCTCCTGGGACTTTGAGCATGCACACACATGCACCTAGCATGAGTTTCAAGCTGCCAGGCCCAGGACTTGAACTGTGACCGACTACGTGGGAGTCCGCCGTCTTAACCACTGCCACGTGCTGACCCCTCGTTCACTTTCTTTAGGTTTTTGCCATAGTGTGTGTGCACTGGCCAGAGAGAGCTAGGAACAAAGCGGAAGTGAGAGTCAGCCCAGAGGAATGGCCATGTTGCAGTCCTCGGCTCTCCTCCGAGGCCTTTGGGCACACACCTGCTTTTCAAGCTGCTTGGTCTGGGACTCAAACTGTGTGCTCAGCCATGTGGGATCCACCATCTTAACCTCCGCCACATGCTGGCCCAGGAGTATATATTTTAAAAACCTTACTAGGAACAAAGCGGAAGTGAGAGTCAGCCCAGAGGAATGGCCATGTTGCAGTCCTCGGCTCTCCTCCGAGGCCTTTGGGCACACACCTGCTTTTCAAGCTGCTTGGTCTGGGACTCAAACTGTGTGCTCAGCCATGTGGGATCCACCATCTTAACCTCCGCCACATGCTGGCCCAGGAGTATATATTTTAAAAACCTTATGAATAAATGGGACCAGCAGGTGGCATGGTGGTTGAGGCACTGGATAGTCCCACACGGCCAACCAGGGTTCAAGTCCTGGACCTGGTGGCTTGCTTTCTCACTTTCCTCTCTCTCTCTCTGTGTCTCTCTCTGGTTAAATTAAAGTGAATGAATGAATGAGTGAATAAATCTTTTTTTTAAAAAAAACCTTATGAATAGTGTTTCGAGGCTGGCAGGTGGCATGGTGGTTAAGGATGCTGGACTCCCACATGGCGACTGTGGTTCAATTCCCAGACCTTGCAACTTGCTTTCTCACTGTCTCACTCTCTCTGCGTCCCTCTCTGATCAAAATTTAAAATAAATAGTTAAATAAAAATAATTCTTTAAGAAAAAAAGTGTTTTATGACGGGGCCATGCAGGCAACACAAGCTGGTAAGGATGCTGCCTCCCACTCTCTGCCA